CAGAACTCGATACTCAGTATAATCATAGACCTTGTTCTTATAGAGTAATGAAAAGTTTCTTTTCTGCCAAATCTTGTATTCATAATCGTATTTCATATTGATGATTGAATCGTTGCATGTTAATAGATCTTCTTTGGTATACTCTGTTGATGCAGGTCTGGATTTTCTTAAACACCTGTATGGTCTACCTCTCACCACCCCATAGTCATTTCTGGCCAAGTATTGAGCATTTGCAGCAGAGTAGAGCTCAAACTGCTCGCTGACAACATAATAAAATAAGGGGAAATCTTCATTACATCCTTCTAAAGAAATTCCCCACTTTATCCAATAATTACGCATTTTCCAAATATTCCGTTCGTGGTCATCAGTGGAGTTACAAATCTTTATGGTATCATTCAGAACTCGATACTCAGTATAATCATACACCTTGTTCTTATAGAGTATTGAAAAGTTATTCCAAACTTTGTATTCATCATCGTATTTTATATTGATGATTGAATCATGGCATGTTAAAAGATATTCCTTGGTGGATACACAGTTCCATTCAATAATTTTCGTGCATACATAAGGTTTACCGTCCACCACCCCATATCTATTTTTTTTTAAATATTGACAACTGGGTGCGCAGTAGACATGGAACTGTTTGCTCACCACATAATATTTCTCTAAGTCGATGGCTTCATCACAAATTTTAAAAGACCTTACCCTCTTTACCCAGCGATTGCGCATTTTCCAAATTTTTCGTACGTAGTCATCAGTGGAGTTACAAATCTTTATGGTATCATTCACAACTCGATACTCAGTATAATCATACACTTTGTTCTTATAGAGTAATGAAAAGTTATTCCAAACTTTGTATTCATCATCGTATTTTATATTTATGATTGAATCGTTGCATGTTAATAGATCTTCTTTGGTGGACTCTGTTGTTTCTGGTCTTAATCTTCCTTCACATACGAAAGGTTCGCCGTCTTTCACTTCATAGTCTGTGAGATATTGACCGCTCCTCAGTGCAGTTATATTGAACTGGATATTGTAAATGTAAAACGGCCTCTTTATGTAATGGTCACCTTGGACTAGGCATTTATACCTGTCTTTCACCTTCTCCCACAAATTTCGAGATCTCCAAATCGTCCGAATTTTCGAATCTTCGGAGGCACATATCTCAATACTTTCGTAGTTGAATCGATATTCGCTGTAATTATATATCTTGTTGTTGTAAGACAGCGAAAAATTCTCCCAAATCTGGTATTGCTCCCCGTACTTTATTTTAACCAAATAATCATCGCAGGATAGACTGAGCTTCGCCGAACAAAGTGCCAAACGTCCGAAAATTACCCCGTAATCTGTCTGGAGAAAATTTTGCTTGGTAAATTTGAAGAAAACAGTTAAATTTTTATGCACTTTGTAATCCTGCCTTGGAAAACCATCCACGGATACATTGCAATGTCTGGAAGCCATCTCTTCCTTTTCAATGATAGTCAAATTCTGCCATCTTTGTTGGATAAGAGTGTTGGAAGAATTACAAACTTCTAGACCTTCCGTTGTGACTCTGTACTGGTCATAATGGTATATTTCACCTTGGTACATGATTGAGAAGTTGTTCCACACTCTGTAATCATCTTCATATTTTATAGTAAAGGTAGAATTCGCGCATTCGATCAAACCTGTTTTACTTCTTGTGATTGCATCAATGTCTCGTCTGTTCCGGTTATGCTGCCTTGTTGGGAAGTTGTGAGGCTGAAAAAATCTGCGGCTCATCGAGGATATGTTTTCCTTAAAGTCGCTGTTCCATTCGGATTGATTCACATGAGAAATTAAGTTTGATATTTCACTTGGGTATTTCTCTTTAGGCGGTGATGAAGTTGAACAATTTTCTCGTCTTGTTTCCAGTGCAATTTCTAAACAGGAAATCATAGTTTGCTAAAGATAGTTATTAAAGAAAATCCTCGATTTAGGAATACTGAGGTTAAGGGCAATTTTAGAGCGATTGAAAAAACACTATCCGGTGCTATGCAACTTTCGTATAACCGCCGCTGTAGTTGATCAATAACGTAACGTAGACAAACACCTGCTTTTATGAAACAAATTGCTTCGATCAAACATGTCTAGACGATAAAAAGTTATTCTAGTTAAAAACTGTTTCTTTACCTGTTGTTGTGATCTCTGAAAGACCATCCGTCGCCTTGTCGACATCAGTCTGTTCAGAATTCTCTGTTGTGTTGGGAATACATTTGTTTTGTTCATTTAAAACTATACGAGTTGAGGGCGTGTCATTGAATTTTTCTCTTAATTTTCTTGTTTCCGTTTTGATCTTTCGTGTGATGAGTCTTGAACCACCACCATCGCGATAAAAACAGGCAAACGACAAACAGAAGAAAAAGAAAAAGACTCGATACAAGAGTCGAAAACTGAAGCCACGATTACGAACCATCTTGCAACTGCAGGCGTTGTTAAACAACTGAATAGTTTTGAATAGAATTGAAGTTTAAAACGAGCCGCACTCGTAAAATGTCATAAAATGTGTTGAAATTCTCTGAGAATCTTTGACATGTTATATTGGACTGTATGCGACTATATGGCCACACTTACACTTCGGCGTCATTTTGGTGAGAACTGTGCGAGGCGATATATTCCCATTTTATGAAAATATTCTCAAAAATATAAGCTTGAACAGATTGCAATGGCCTAGCGCTATGTGATCGTTTTATCAAACTGTCAGTACTGCCAGAAATAACCCAAGAAAAACCACGGTTAATCTAAGTCAAACTTCGGTCTGATCACGGTTGAACCGAGGTCAGACCGAGGCCGAACCGTGGTGTGACGGAGGTTTAACCTTGGCCTAACTCGGTCTGACAGACATTTCTTAAGATGCTTTCGATATGATTATTGTGTTGTCGTTCTCAGCTGTTCATAACATTCCGTTCGGGGACGAACGGCAAACGCGATCGTATTTTTTCCCTTGCCGTCGTCTGCGGTTTCTATCGGTCGACCGGAAACGAACCGTAACCGCGCTGTTAGGTTATTTCTGGACAGTACTGTATTCATATACTTATCACACAAAATAGTTATCAATTTAAAACGTATATGAACTAATTAACATATACATCAAATGTTCATAAAATTTGGGTAGCGGTAGGAAGCAAGATCGTGTTGAAGAGGATTGAGCCCGTTATAACAGGACGACTATTCTAACATTCGGTTATAAAGTGTTGTTTCCATACAAAGATAGCTAACACGTCCATCTCTCGTGGACAGGGTGTGGCAGGCAAGTGTATTTAACATAACAAACTGTCGAGTCAGCCGCGAGTTCAATTGAGAGAATATAGTCTGGTGTGTCACGGCCAGCGAACTTGAATATTTACAAGAAGCGAACATTCTGAAGTTTCTTGGCCGAAGAAAGACAAAAATTGTAATGATATATAAGAAAGATCTGCAATGAAAATATCTTAAATTGCAATTGATTAGATTGCTTGATCTACGTTGTAGTATAATCTGTCTAACTCTATATATATGCCCTATACAGTTATTAATTTGATTTCTTTTTTCTTATTTTTTCATAACCGTTTTTCCCATGCTTAACCAAAATCTGCGGAAAACCAACTTAGATAACCTAAATAAAAGGATTTAAACTTTGTACGTGCGTATGGAAAACAGTTATGAAGTGTTGTTTCCAATGCATTACAGCCAATATGACATCCTTGTAGACAGAGTGTGGGCTAGCTGCCTTGCAGACTGCGAGTCTGGCTAATCGTGGGCAAGCAAGTGTTTATAATATACAAACTGTCAGATCAGTTGAGTTTTATTGAGAGTGTAGTCTAGTGTGTTATGGCTATAGTGAATGCTCATAAGGGCTGCTTCACACTTACGCGTTTTTCATACGCACGTACACGCACGTAAAGTCTAAATCCTTATATTTTTTTTTAGAAAAGTTGTGGACAAGAAGTGTACATAGCATAGTGTCAAGTAGGTTTATTGAGAGAATAGTCTAGTGTGATATGACTAGCGAACTTGAATATTCATCACATGTTAAAAAGAAAAAATTGTGAGAAATTTCATGCATGGTAAGAAAAGTGGAAAATTAATGTATAGGAAAGCCTTCTCTGACTCTCTAAAAATACCACCAGAGTTGGTATCTAAGTTATATAGTATATATAAGTGTGTATATCATATATTTAGCACTTATTCTGCGAACTCGAGTCGTATATGAGCTTATAGCCGACGAGGCGCGTACTGTTTTACTATTTACATAAACTTTGTCGCCCTTTTGGTGTGCAATTATCAACTAAAGCTTGGATTTCTATTTCACTCAATTCCCCAAATCTTTCAGCCATTTTGTTTACTTTCTCTACTAGACAGATATGAGCTAATATCTGTCTAGTAGCCAACCAATGAAATTGCAGCATACCTCATATCTGGCGCTTGTGATCAACTTATTTCAAATATGAATGAAAACAAAGAAAGAAAGACATGAGAACTAAAATTAGTAAAACTGCAAGAGAGTTATGATACAAATATCACGAAAGGTTATTTCGTGTGGGAAATTCTACACAATGTTGAGTGTTTTGTTTTTAAAAATAAATAACATGTGATCATACCCAATATCAAATCATACTTAGGAGAGGGGAAGGGGGGGGGGGGTCAAGTCAAAGTTTTGCCGACAAAAATAGGCGTGGTTTATTAAAATTGGATGTTGACATTTATCAGCTGCAGTAGTATAGGTCATCTTTTCCTACCAAAAAGTCTAATATAATCAAATTGCTTGGATTACAATTATTACGTGTTTAAATAATGCACGCTTAATACGTTGCTGTGTTCCTTAAGCAACTACATGCTACATATTTCTATTGGGATAAAATTCTCCTAATTTGACCCATTGACACGCAATGTGCTTGCCATTCTCTGAAATATTCTCTGACGAACTGAGTCCACACGAAAAAAAAGATATTACATTTTGTATTTAATATTTACTTTAATGAACGTGCTTCAATGATTTATGTAGTTTATTATTTAATTACAATTACATCAACGTTAACTTCTTATTTAGTTTTATATACTTGTATTGATGGCACTGCTTTTTATCCAAGCATTAGTGCATTATTATAGGTACAGGGATGCTTGGCCAACCCAACATCATCATTTTGGGGATACATGATAAGACTGATTATAATTGCCAATGCCTTTAAGTTTAAGGTTAGGATAGAATTATTATAAACGATTCAGTTATGCATGAGGTCATCACCGAAAGTAAGTCATCGAAAATCCACGAATGTTTTGAACCGACCTGCTGTTGCATAATGGCTCTAAACACATTACATTTATTTACATCATAATTTAATTGCTTCCATTGCTTGTTGAATCTAAGTACAGTTTCCTTTCTACATTTCTTTTACAGATTTTAAGGCGACGAATACGTGATTATTGAGATATTTTTCGAAGGTTCGTGCCAAGAAGATTTTAACGACTCGCTTGCTCGCCAAAAAATTTCTTCCTAAGCAGCTGGTAATTTTTTCCAGTGAAGACAAAAGCAATTCCAACATAAACACCAGAAAGCCACGCTACCGTCAGTAATGATATCATAAGGTCAGAATTAAACACTAAATCTTCAAATACAAGAGGAATCCAGCTGATGGCTGTAGTGGTTGACAGCTTAAACAACAAAACAAAGCTTCTGCGTTTCTTAACAATGTTTGATTTCTGTACAATGTTCTCGCTTGCTCTGAGTTTTTTGCGAATTCCACGAGCAGTAAAGATGAACATTGCAATGATGTAGAACAAAACACAGCCTGGAACACCATAATTCTCAACAACAACCAGCCAACTAGGAAGATTGTGATCCTTAGCACAAGAAACTGACTCCTGAGTTATATTCTGATGAAACCTCAAGACTTTCGTCTTCACAAGAACAATGTAGACTATAGTTATAACGACAGGAACACCCCAGCCAAACAGACTGTACTTAAAGAAGGTTTTCAACTTGTTTACATCAGATCTCACCAAAGTATTGCGGCAAAAGGTTTTTCTCAAGTGATAGATATTAACAGCAGCATTCATGAGTATGTTATATGTAATAAACTTATTTATTATTTCCATTCTAGCACATGGGAAATCCAATTCTTTATCAACACGTAAATACAGTGACAAATACACTACGTAATTAATCAATGCCAAGAGAAATGAGAAACTTAAACTCATCAAATTCAAGCCAGGAAGAGTTCGCAACTCTGGAAGCATACCATAAACTATCAACAACAATAATAAACAAATAATTGAGAGAGCCAAGGCACAAAATGGTGCTATGAAGAACAGCCTAATATCTGATATACTATGTTCAGTACGTTTACCAGGACATACTGTAAATTTACCTTCGAACACGCTATAACTATACTTTGTTTTACTTTTCCTCAAAAACGAAACGTCAACCCACTCTGTGAGGTCATTGAACTTTTTTCGATGTGTCACATTTCTGGAACTTGTCTTACTTATTTCATACTGTACAGTAACTACTTCCAACTTCACATCCTTCAGTAGTGTGAAATGCCCTCGTTTGTCCGTATTCGTTCTCATGGATTTAATACAACTTTCAAAATACTTGAAGCCCTTTACCCAGGAAGTACGCATTTTCCAAACATTCTGCACATAGTCATCCGTGGAGTTACAAATCTTTATGGTATCATTCAGAACTCGATACTCAGTATAATCATACACCTTGTACTTGTAGAGTATTGCAAAGTTTTTATTCGGCCAAATTTTGTATTCATCATCGTATTTTATATTGATGATTGAATCGCTGCATGTTAATAGATCTTCCTTGGTATACTCAGTTGACGGAGGTCCGTACTTTTCTTCGCTAATGCAAGGTCGACCGTCTATCACCCCATAGTCGTGTTTTGTGAAATATTGACCAGTTAGTGACCGGTACATATGGAACTGCTTGCTCACAACAACTGCTTGATAGTTGAGGTAAACGCATATTTGGGATCCTTTGAAAGAAATTTCTCTCTTTATCCACTCATTACGCATTTTCCAAATATTCCGTACGTAGTCATCAGTGGAGTTACAAATCTTTATGGTATCATTCAGAACTCGATACTCAGTATAATCATACATTTTGTTCTTGTGGAGTATTGAAAGGTTACTCCAACCTTTGTAGTCATCATCGTATTTGATATTGATGATTGAATCGTTGCATTTTAATAGATCTTCCTTGGTAAACTCTAGTGATTCTGGTCTAAACTTTTTTTTGCATGTACAAGGTCTTCCGTCTGTCACTCCGTAGTCATTTACTGAGAAATATTGATCAGTGCGCGCCCAATAGACATGGAACTGCTTACTCACAACAAAATATTGCAGGTAAGAGCATTCATTGCACTCTTTAATAAACCTCACCCTTTTTACCCACTTATTACGCAATTTCCAATTATTCCGTACGTAGTCATCAGTGGATTTGCAGATCTTTATGCAATCATTCAGAACTCGATACTCAGTATAATCATACACCTTGCTCTTATAAAGTATTGAAAAGTTATTCCAAACTTTATATTCATCATCGTATTTTATATCGATAATTGAATCGTTGCATGTTAATAGATCTTCCTTGGTATACCCTGTTGATAGTATTGTTAAATTACCCTTGCATACGTAAGGTTTACCGTGTATAACTCCATTGTCACTCGTTTTAAAATGTTGACTACCTGCTGCCCAGTAAACATGGAGCTGCTTACTCACCACATAATAATTTAAGCGGATGGCTTTATTACAACCTTTAAAAGACCTTTTCCTCTTTACCCAGTTATTACGCAATTCCCAAATATTCCGTACGTAGTCATCAGTGGAGTTACAAATCTTTATGGTATCATTCAGAACTCGATACTCAGTATAATCATACACCTTGTTCTTATAAAGTATTGAAAAGTTATTCCAAACTTTGTATTCATCTTCGTATTTTATATTGATGATTGAATCGTTGCATGTTAATTGATCTTCCTTGGTATACCCTGTTGATAGTAGTGTTAAATTACCCTTGCATACGTAAGGTTTACCGTGTATAACCCCATAGTCGCTCGTTTTAAAATGTTGACTACCTGCTGCCCAGTAAACATGGAGCTGCTTGCATACCACATAATAATTTAAGCGGATGGCTTTATTACAACCTTTAAAAGACCTTTTCCTTTTTACCCAGTTATTACGCAATTCCCAAATATTCCGTACGTAGTTATCAGTGGAGTTACAAATCTTTATGGTATCATTCAGAACTCGATACTCAGTATAATCATACACCTTGTTCTTGTAGAGTACTGAAAAGTTATTCCAAACCTTGTATTCATCATCGTATTTTATATTGATGATTGAATCGTTGCATGTTAATAGATCTTCTTTGGTAAAATTTCTTGATCTTTGTATTTGATGGCTAACAATTTCTTTGCATATGACTGGTAGGCCGCGTATAACCGCAAACTCACTTCTTGTGAGATATTGATTAACTTGCGCCCAGTAGACATGGAAATGTTTAGTCACAAAATAAAGCAATTTCCCAATGAAATGTTTCCGACAATTTTTACTACGTATTTGTTTTTTCATCCACTCATTTCGCACTTTCCAAATATTTCGTACGTAGTCATCAGTGGAGTTACAAATCTTTATGGTATCATTCAGAACTCGATACTCAGTATAATCATACACCTTGTTCTCATAGAGTAATGAAAAGTTTTTTCCAACTGCGTATTCATCATCGTACTTTATATTGATGATTGAATCGTTGCATGTTAATTGATCTTCTTTAGTATACCCTGTTGATAGTAGTGTTAAATTACCCTTGCATACGTAAGGTTTACCGTGTATAACCCCATAGTCACTCGTCTTAAAATGTTGTCTGGCTGCTGCCCAGTAAACATGGAGCTGCTTACTCACCACATAATAATTTAAGCGGAAGGCTTTATTTTTATTACAACCTTTAAAAGATCTGTTCCTCTTTACCCAGTTATTACGCAATTCCCAAATATTCCGTAGGCAGTCATCAGTGTAGTTACAAATCTTTATGGTATCATTCAGAACTCGATACTCAGTATAATCATACACCTTGTTCTTGTAGAGTATTGAAAAGTTATTCCAAACTTTGTATTTATCGTCGTATTTTATATTGATGATTGAATCGTTGCATGTTAATTGATCTTCCTTGGTATACTCTCTTGACTGTAGTCCTAATTTTCCCTGGCATAGATAAGGTTTACCGTGTATAACCCCATAGTCACTCGTTTTAAAATGTTGACTGGCTGCTGCCCAGTAAACATGGAGCTGCTTACTCACCACATAATAATTTAAGCCGAAAGCTTTATTACAACCTTTAAAAGACCTTTTCCTCTTCATCCAGTAATTACGCAATTCCCAAATATTCCGTACGTAGTCATCAGTGGAGTTACAAATCTTTATGGTATCATTCAGAACTCGATACTCAGTATAATCATAGACCTTGTTCTTATAAAGTATTGAAAAGTTATTCCAAACTTTGTATTCATCATCGTATTTTATATTGATGATTGAATCGTTGCATGTTAATAGATCTTCCTTGGTAAACTCCGTTGATTCTGGTCTTAATCTTCCTTTGCATACGAAAGGTTTACCATCTTTCACTCTGTAGTCCTGTCTTGTGAGATATTGACCTCTCCATTGGTAATATAGCGTAAACTGTTTATTCACAACGTAAACCCGCGTCTTAATGAAATGATCACCCTGGGCAAGGCATTCATACCGGGCTTTCACCTTTTTCCACGAATTTCGAGATTTCCAAATCGCTTGAATTTTTGCATCATTGGAAGCACACATCTGAATATTGTCGTAGTTTAGTCGATATTCGCTAGGATGATAAATCCTGTTGTTGAAAGAGAGGGAAAAATTCTTCCACACGTGGTATTGTCTCCCGTACTTTACTCTGACTAAGTATTCGTCGCAGGCTTTGTTAAGCTTCCCCGCACAAATTGCAAAATGTCCAAAAATTACCCCGTAATCTCGCTGTGTAAAACTTTGCGTGGTGAGTTTGAAGAAAACAGTTAAATTTTTATATACTTTGTAATTTTGCCTTGGAAAACCATCAACGGATACATTGCAATGTCTGGAAGCCATCTTTTCCTTCTCAATGATAGTCAAATTTTGCCATCTTAGTTGGATAAGAGGTTTGGAAGAATTACAAACTTCTAGACCTTTCTTTGTGACTCTGTACTGGTCATAATGGTATATTTCACCCTGGTACATGATCGAGAAGTTGTTCCACACTTTGTAATCATCTTCATATTCTATACTAAAGGTAGAATTCGCGCAGTCGATCAAACCTGTCTTACTTCTTGTGATTGCATCAATGTCTCGTCTGTTCCGGTTGTGCTGCCTTGTTGAGAAGTTGTCAGGATGAGAAAATCGGCGGCTCAACAAGGATAGGTTTATTTTGATATAAATGTCCCATTTCGTCTGATTTACATGAGAAATGATGCCTGGTTTCATAGTGGGATATTTCCATTTAGGCAGTGAAGAAGTTGAAAAAGGAACTTCTTGTTTCTTTCCTATTTCATAACTTCGCTTTGTTTCAACTGCAATCTCTGGAAGATAAATTATAGTCCGCTATAAATCATTGATAAAAATAATCCCGCCCGGATATTTTCACCCGAGACCGGCGAATTAGAATGCTATGCGCTTGCGCGATTTCGGATCGACAAGGAATTTTTTTTTCACTTCAGTAAAGAGCTGACAGACGTCGAGAAAAATTTTTTAAAACAACTGGAAAATATTCGCATCCGGCATGACTTTAAAGCCAGTGTTTTTTCAGTGTTTTAAATGAAATTGTACATTTTCAAAACAAGTCTGTTGCTGTGAAAATGTTTTCAAAAAAATTTGAATCTTACGACTAGACTCCAGAAAAATTTTTATTCGGCGGAAGTGTTTTTATTCGGTCGATAGTACATTTAGAGACCGGGGGGGGAACTCGTTCATCTAAATACCTACACTTAATCGGTTATACGCAAACCCCCGTGCATGTTAAATTCTAGATACGGTCTGGCTTAGGAAATAAATTGCTTGGATCACGCAATATTCATGCGAGCGAGGGAACTGTGTATGAATTTTTTTTGTCAAAAATTGTCCCAATGGCTATACCTTTTCTTATCTCTTGAAGACCAGTTTCTTCTTCCGTCTTGTCGACATCAATCTGTTCAGAATTTTCTGTTGTGTCGGGAATGGATTCGTTTGAAATTTTACGTGTTGAGGGCGTGTCGTTAAATTCTTCTCTCAATTTCCTTGATCCCGTTTTGATCTCTCCCGTGATAAGTCCAAAACCACGATCACCACGATAAAAACAGACAAACAACAAACAGAAGAAAAAGAAAGCGACTCGATACAAGAGTCGAAAACTGAAGTCTCGATTACGAACCATGTTGCAACCGCAAGAGTTGTTAAACAACTGAATATGCTTTTGAATCGACGTAAAACACACGTACGTCTACACTTGAAACCCTTCTAGAATTAACATGTTCTATTAGACGGATTGGCTACACTACAGTTATACTTTGATGTGAGGAGGTAATACTTTGTGAACAGGCGTTATATGTTAATTTTATGAAAGCATTGTCGAGAAAATAAGCTCTTAAAATAGTGCTATATGTGTTCCCATGCATAACCGTTGTCGTGAAGTATAATAGTAATCGCTTGAAAACCTACATCAACATACGCCCGAATGTCCATCAAATTCTGCCTCGCTTAACAACAGCGTCAAGCCGGTTTTCCACTAGCGATAATTTTCACGCGAAGTGACATTTTACTTTTGTTTCAGAGCTCTCAACTGCAACCATCTGGAACAAATTGCTCAAATACAAAGGAATAAATTCGCTTGGCGCGAAAAATATCGCTAGTGGAAAAAACTAAGGCATTAGGAAGCAAGTTAATGTTAAGGAAGTTCAACTTTGTTATAACAGAGAGAATGTGCATTTCGAAAAGCTGTTCTTTTTCTTATTTCATTAAACAAAAGTTGGGGGGAGCTCCCCCGGGGTGATGGGAGGGGGACGTACTGCAAAAATTACCCTTTTTTGAGGGTCACGTCCTGCAAAAATTACGTTTTTCTGAATATATAAATATTATACTCTACCTGTTATTTTTAACCACTACTACTTTAGATACGGACGTCATGAGACTCGGTCTTGCCTTTGCTTTTACGGTGTCCAAATACATGCAGCTTAGTGATCCTTGAATATAGTACTTCAATAATAACAGAGAGGGAAAAAGTGGACTTTTTTATGTTAAAGTTCATGATGACGCATTTTTGTTCTAAGCTGGAAGAATAATAGGTTAATAGGTTATATCTAACGCCACAGCTAGACATAGCATCTTACAATGATCGAGTAGAACTTTAGTACCAAAATTTTGTAAAAGTAGAAAATATATTTTCAAAGTTTATAAGTTGTGTATTAAATTATATTAGGCACAGTTGAATTAACATATCATTTTTGAACGTGCGCGTGATGTGAATATTTTTTTATAAAATATTCTTTTCGCCCGATACATTAACTCCATTACTATATATTATAGAATTTTTTATACAATTTATTTCGGACTGCGTTAAAATTCATTTCGGACAAAAATATACCTTAGGCAGGCAATATTGTCTATTTTTGCCTGCAAAATTTACCGTATAATACCGGGTATTTCTCATTATTTCGACCAAATTTTAACAATGTGCTAATGCACTTTGTCATAAAATCATTAAAAGACGTGAGCTCGCGCAACGCGTCCAGCAAAGCTGGTTTGAAGTGTTTTGTTATTTGGAATAAATTTTCTTTCCTTCGACTGACATATGGCAAACAGACTTTCTCATATGTCACGACAGTCAAAATAAACAAAGAACTTTATTCTCTGGTGATCACGAAGATTCATTCAAAATGACAGAGAACTTTGTTCTCCGGTGATCATCGACGATTGCCATCGCCGACTGTCGTCGACCAATTAGAACCAGGCTTAACGGATTGCCAATAGTAAACCACCGACAGCCGGTGATACAGTAACATAGGAGAACTAGGCTTAACGGTATCAACATTTCGGGAAAGGGCTACAATACAAGTTACACATCAGCTTCGAATTTTTGGGTCACTGGATACAACATGCGCCATCCAGTGTCAGCATATGTATCAGTGTCCTACGTGTGTATATTGAAGATCTTTTATCTTCAGCAAAATCGGAAGAGTAGAAGTTAAAACCTCCACTTACCTCGTACTGTCGAAGAAATTCAAGGAAATCTTTTAACGAGTTCAAAACGAGGCTTCTAAGCTGTATGGACATCAGAGCTCCGACGCATGAGAAGAATTTCTGTATGAGTGAGGCTGAATCGCCTTCATTCGCTGGAATGAGATGTGTCCAGTGTTGTTTACAGTCTAGGAGAACCTTGGCACATTCTGTTATCCATCTGCAAGAAGCGAATATGTTGGATAATAAGTTGACTGGAACGTGAATATATGATATAGAGATCAGCGTGATTTTCAAAACAAAGAAAACATAGTGTAATGTTCCGGAGACTGGATGGTGGATAAATGATACAGAGATCAGTGTGATTTTCAAAATAATTAGAACAAAGTGCACTGTTTGGGAACTGGATCGTGAATATATGATAAGGAGATCAGTGTTATTATCAAAACGAAAGGAATCTTACGTTTTTTTGAGGAATTCCCTTGTTCGTAGACACTGTTTTCTAACGAGTTCTTGGAATTCCTCAGGTGCAACAGGTAGCCCAGACGCACGTAGTTCGTCACCGTCAACAAAACGTACCTGAGAAAATCTACAAGACAAAGACTTTCTTCGATTAAACACGGTTAAAATTTAAATATAGACTGAACAAGTATTTACCTGTTTGTCCAAACATTTTGTATTTCCATCATGACCGGATTGGTTGTAAAAACATTTTTTATCACCATATCTTTCCCTCTTTGGTACGAGTTATGCCAAGGCACCGGTGCACGTATAGTTCTAAAAAATGGCAGAGTGTCAAGGCAGTTCTTTACCAAAAATATTTTGTTAAACTTCGCGCGCATGACAATCCAGTTTCAATCATGAAATTTGATAGCTTTTTATTACCTTCGAGGAAATGGTTTAGGAATAGCGCTGATGCTGAGACGAACTTTCTCCGATGGATCCATTAGAATGTAGTCGACTAAAAACGATGGAGCAAACTATTGGAATTGTTTAGGCCTTTGATTGATAGGTCCTAAGCGCGCCTGACTAGCTTTTTTAGTTTTTAATTGAAAAATATTGTAATGAACCATTTTACCATTTTATACATTGTAAACAGATTGTAATTTAGCGCATCTGCTACTAATATGTGTAATAAATACTATTTACCATTCACCAACTGGAAAAATTCAACGTTTTTGACTGAGTTCGATGATCATATTTTTTTTATTATTATGGCTGTATTGTGCGTCCACTCGGGACTGGACTAATTTTGGAGTTTTGAGCTGAAGTGCTTGACTCCAAACGTTCGGTTTAATCCTGGTTTGATGCAGCTAATGAAAACTAATTCCGTGTAGAAATTTCAAGATTGATGCTCAACTGCACGTTTAGGGTCAAGTATTTTTGTTTACAACTTTGAATTTAATTCCCCCCTGCCCTGAGTTGGCCTTCAAGTTAACTTGCAGTTATCATTCAATGTTTAGGCTTGTTAAGTACCTCAAAACCATCGTTCAAAAGCTTGAAGTGTGTCTTAAATATACATTAAAATATTGATGAAAATTAACACACAATTCGTTCGGTAATTTATTTACCTATCGCTTTCCGTATGCTGAAAATGTAATCGTCTTCCACTTCTTTAAATAAATCGTTCAATAAAGCATCAAGTTCCGGGTCTGACTGAAGCTTTTCTGGTATTTTGTTGGCCAAAATACGTCGCATAATTGCTGGGTTACATAACGCAAGAGAATCCATTCGTATGCCTTTTGTGATGTAGAAATTATAACGCTGAAGAGAGATTTTAAATTAAACGAATTATCTCCATGAAATCACAATAAAACGAAGCGATAATGTTGAATATACCGAAGACAACTTGGCAATGTCTTTTGTTTATTTTTAGACTAATTCAGCTCGTTGTACGTGCAACTGCAAATTAAAGCATTTTGATTGGTCAATACGCCAAATAGAGCATTTTGATTGGTTCCCGACTAACAGCACGGACCGCTTCGGTTTTGGCGGGAAACTTCGAGTTCCGGTTTTCTTTGAGATTAAATCAGAAACAATTTGAAAATTTTCAGTGTTTTCTTCCGCCTAAAAGGCGATAATATTTTAGAGTATATCTTTAACGAGCTACTTCGCGCCAGAATTTAAATTTTGTCCACAAATTTCCTTATAACAAACCATTTTAGCTTCAAGTTCTTTCAAACAATTGAATTTTGTCGGATCGAATGCACTTTTGATGTATGGAATGTAGTCTGTTATTGATAAAGCAGTACTGCGCTGATTTTATTTGATTTGCCACCTATATGTATTGCAAGTCAACAAACTATAAAACATCCATCAGACGTGTTCTGACAAAATTACTATCCAATTTTGGATAATAATTAGCTTTTGATTGAGCTTACTCCGTCCATACGGCAGAATCCTGACTCGCTCACGCCTCAGTTCATAAACAAGTGAAAAAAGAACCAACTATCCAAATTTGAAACTACCTTGAGATCCTGTTTTGAAGGTTCACGATCATGAAATGATTCACCAGAATTGCTTTCGTCCATTTTCTTCATCATTTCCAGCTGTTCTGCAGGAGTAATGGCTCTGCTCGGAGCGATCACTTTTGGTTCCCTGTTGAAACAGGTTTCTTTTAGATAAGCTGTTTATTTACTCCAATACCTTAGATAGCCCAGAAGTATTGCTTTGTTTTAGCTCCATGCTCTGGTTTTTACATCAACCGATCTTCTTAAACGCATTTGGCGATTAGAAAACGTGGAAAAATAACAAAAGGGGGGAAATAACTTTTTTTATATAAAATAGGGTCGTTTATCGATGTTATTGCAGAAATTGACGCACTCTTTCAAGGTCTGTCTTCGTCCCTCGGACTTGCTTCTTTGATGTGTGACAGGTCTTCTACTTGTGAGATGCACTATTTCTCGAGCTGTATTTCAGCATTAAGGAACACGGTAGTTATTAAATGTATCATAACGCTTTATAAAAGTTAAATTTAAATGACAACGGAGTTACAGGTGATATGAAATGAAGAGAAAAGACTGGTACTAGTTGTCAAATAAAGAGCACTTCTCTATTAAAAAAACTTAACATATCTAATATAACCAAGGAGCTGCGTCTACAAAAACCTTGTGCTATAACAGCTGTCCAAAATCGAAAAAACATAATCTAGAAGCTTATATTTAATTGGGGGGGGGTCATATATTCATATCTTCGTCTTATGCCCGACTGATTTCTATTGTTAGCCATTGTTTCTACGGTTGTACGAACATGAATATATGAATATATATGCAGCCTCCCCCCCTTCAATTAAGCTTCTAGCGACAGTCCAGTTTGAAAGTGAGAAGTGCTTATGTCTATTTTAGATAGTTGTTAATTATGCCACATTTGATGCCAATTTCATATCTCTTGAAATATACTTTATTTTGGACTTTTTTTTGTATCTAATGTATGACACAGCTATAGTGTATATATTCCCAATTAACCTTCCAAATTAAGCGGTCTAGCTACGGCCCTGATAACCAGGGGCACTTACAGATATAGTTTTCATAACCTATTAACAGTATTCTTCCAAATGAAATGATCTAGCATCAGACAGAATAAATTAAGTAGATCACATTTAATTGGGTGCATATAAGCTTGCATGGTATTAAGGGCTCAAAATTTCAAAAAGACAATTTCATTTCAAAGGATACAAGGCTGGCTTGTTGCTCTGGTATGAGGTCTTGTCTGTGATTGTTGAATTTTCAGTAAATTTTTCATTTTAAGTTCGTTTGCAGTGGGCGTGTAATTATTAGCAATTGATTCACTTGGCGTTCTGTGGTACATTGTCTCCTTGTATGGGGCTGCCCGCGTCCAAGACATGTCTTTCATGATTGGTGGATATTCACTGTGCCTAACCACAATCTGCAAAGTTTCATAAGTAAATCCGGATGCTCAATTTTATGATTACAACAGGCTTACGATTTAAGGTTTTAGGACTAAGTTGGAAGAATGCAAGTGCATTCTCTAAAGGGGTATATGGTTGGCGGTAATCAATCTCAGGTTAATATGCACCAACCATATACCCCTGGAAAATTCTTCTACAAAGGCACCAACAATTTATTGGCTGATGACCCTCATAAATGAATGCAATTCTTCACAAAGTAGAAGCAGTTTAATTTTTAAAGTCTAATTTTCAAATCCTAACAGGATTTACACAGATCCAGTTAAGAGCTAAGAGTTACGAGGTTTTATAGATGAATATTGTTCTAGAGAGGGGGCATTGAATGCTTCAACCCTCCTAGTGAGGAAGGAGCTTTGCAATTAAGCCTTATAAAAACTTTGAGATATCATAACAATTTATAAGCCACATGTGGTTAAATAAGCCTTAATTAACCTAAATAAGATCATCCCCCCCACGAACATAGCTTGACAATTCACAATAATTTTATGCTAGCTATGTACCCTTGGATCATTTTTAGCCATAACTTGCAAACAATTCAAGTTCCTGACATTTTTTGAGGTCAGAATATTTTCAGTTGCATAAATGCCCTATCAACATCTCCTCATAATTTGGAGATATAGTCAGTACTCAGTAGGTCAATTAAAATGAAGACTTATTTCAACCAAGTAAGATTTAGATCAAGCAAGGAATTTTATCAAACCTCAAACTTTTCAGACAGCTAATTGTTACCTTAGCACAAAATTATCTGCACAATTAATCACAGACTGCTGGAAAGTATGGAATCAATAATACTTCATATTATAGCATAGGGTAAATCAATCATGATTTTTGGCACTTCACTCCATGCAGGTAAATTCTAGAGGTTCAAAGGGTCTTAACTCAATGGGAAAATGAGCAAGAGGACCGATAGTTGACTCATTTTCCTATTGACTGTCCCTGGCTTGAATTTGAAGTGTGCATAATTCCACTCGAAATTAAGACCCTTTGAACCTTTATCTTTATTACTGACATATATGATATATTGGCTTTCATAATGGTTAATATTTCAAACATTTGACAGAAAATTAAAACTATATTTTACAAAATGTTTTCAAAAAACTATGATAGCAGATAAATCCGACCTTGTACAAATCAGACGGGACGTCTACCGTCGGTGGCAGAGGAGGCAAAGTTGGCAGACCACGAGAGCAACTGAACAGAGCATTGGCTGAGCTGCACACCTGGTAAAAAAAAACGAAGATACACACTTTATAAGTTTATAAAAAATTAAAAACAAATATATTATATCAAGCAAACACTCCGGACATGTTGAATGACAAAATATTCACTAACCTTCACTTTCTCCATATTTTAAACGCGAAGTTCAATAGCTTTGTTTACACAGTGAAGTCAAAATACCGAAGATAAATTACGATCTTTGGCACCGCGTGGGCCATTTTGCTGCGGTTTTTTGCTTTTTCCGCACAACTATAGCACTTTTCTCAGACCTTTACACTTCCAATTTAAGTTCTCTTTAAAAAATAGAGCGAAATACTTCGTTCAAGCGAGGAAAAATACTCCACAAACAAGGAAACGAGATTATAACAGAGTTTTAATCCTTTACCGGGATCACTCGTTGCTAAGGCGGTTGCTAGGCCCATCGTGGAAGGGGCAAATCCCCGTACGGAGGTTTGATTACTACGGAAATTATTCAAATCTACGGCGCGAAGCATTTTGCGATGAGATTCATCAAAATTTTTGCCGCCTTTTTGATGATGGTTGTTTCAAATGAAATATTATGTAAACATTGAAGGGCTTCCTACACAAGCTCTCAATATCTTAAATAAATTAAAAATGGCAATATTGCAGGTCAAATATTTTGTGGGAACGAAGCGGTATGCCTCCAAAGCCTCTAAAAGGTATCTCTGCCGAGCTTCAACACCCTCAGACAGAAATTTCCACGCTATTGAGTTAGTTTGTGCAATAATGATTCTGCAAAAATGCTTCTGAAATTCCCTAACGGGACACACAACAATTCTAGGTAGAAGTATATAATACACACGGTTCAGGTAGAATGTTATTAAGCAAATTAGCTTGCAGGTACACCTCATTGATGCACTGATCTTCATCAGTACCCGGGTTAGCGGACCGAAATCTTTGCAGTATTAAATACTTACGTGGTGTACCTACAAGCTAATTTACTTACTGATGTCTCCATGCAAACATACAAGAATATTATTCAAAAACTCGTATAAAATGTGTTTCCAAGAACAATTTGTCCGCAATGTGCAAAAAATTTCTTAAAACACAAGCGTGACTTTAAATCTGACAAACATTCAAATCACCCGAGATTACACTGTCTTAAGGCCCGTTTACACGTTTGCAGTATTGCAGAATTTGCTGGGAATGTTTAAAGAGACTAACATATGAAGAAATCTCCGGTTGTGGCGTCGGTCCTCCGCCGGTGAGTCGACATCTTCCTGATGAATCATCGAAATGAGATTCAGGTGTGCGAGTTAGCCTGGGTAAGAGGTATACGTTTGTGATCATCGCTGCTTTCGCGACGGCACTCCGAACGATACTCGGGTGTCAAATTCGGCAACGTGAATCGTCATCGTCGTCATGCTAACTTGGTGGTTTAGCATTCTCGTTGTTGGCTGGAGATAAGGAAGTTGATAAGACTTACTGTTGTTGTCATCATCACACTCACCGAAGGGGTCTGGTAATAATATCGCGTTAATATATCATGAATGACAATCAATTTGAAGATGAAAAGTTACTACACGTGCATCCTGGGCTTACCTTTGCCTCTGTTGCTTGCGAAGGGGGCATAAGCCAGGGGGGGGGCGGTGAATTGGGAAGTTGTTCAGTAGAATAGGACCTCAAAGCACGGAATTTCCGAATTTTTCTTGTTCACGTAGAGCTTTTTCCATCGAATATCATCTGAACTTTCATCACACACGCTTCGTCCTCCTCTTGCTCTTCCTCACCCTCCTGTTCGCTCTCTTCGTCGTCATCGACTGGCCTGGAACGAAACATTAATGTCACCCGGATGAGTAATCAACCCAGTGACTTCAATATGCACTGGAACGATATTTGCTTATCAAAACGCTATGATTATGCAAAATCAAAATGGCGGTAATTAAGCGGCCGGAATCAGTGAATGTCGTAAACAGTTTCTATTCCAGATTTTTTTAGAAAATCCAGGTTGTCTAGGCGGGGAATCACTAAAACAGCTATTAGTCCATGAAATCATGTCACTGTCCATATAATCACATAATCAAGGTTACGGCCTGAGAAAAGAAAACTGAAAAACAAAACAAGAGACATCATTTTGTAACTGACATTTACTTTATTGAAGAACTAGTGTTACAATGACTTCTACCGCAAAGTTATGCGGTTTATTAATTACGATACAACTACATATAATATACATATAATTGATGACCGTCAAAGTTAACTTCTTATTTAGTTATATATACTTCTATACTAATGGCACACAATCCAGTTAAATTTAACTTTCTGGGAATACGTGCATGTATCTACCTACAATCGGACCTGGTGTTGCATAATGGCTCCATACACATTACATTTATTTACATGCTAATTTATTAATGCTTACAATACTTGTTGACTCTAACTGCACACATTTTATCTTCTACATACGTGATAATTGAGATAATTTTTGCAAAATCGTGAAAGTTTCATGCACAACAATATGATTTTTGAAATATTTTTTGCGATTTTTTCCTTTTATATTTTCACAGTCACTCATATCACTCACTCATGAACATTTATCTTTCTAACTAAAATATTTCTTCCTGAGCAGCTGGTAATTTTTTCGAGTGAAAACAAACGCAATTCCAACATAAACACCAGTAAGCCATGCTACCGTCAGTAATGCTATCATTAGGTCAGAATTAAACACTAAATCTTCAAATACAAGAGGAGTCCAGCTGATGGCTGTAGTAGTTGACAGCTTAAACAACAAGACAAAGCTTCTGCGATCCTTAACAATGTTTGATCTCTGTACAATGCTGTTGCTTGCTCTCAGTTTTTTACGAATTCGATAAGCGGTGAAGATGAACATTGCAATGATGTACAACAAAAGACAGCCTGGAACACCATAATTCTCAACAACAGCCAGCCAATTAGGAATTTTATGATCCTTAACACAAGAAACTGATCCCTCAGTATTCTGATGAAACCTCAAGATTCCTGTCTTCACAAGAACAATGTAGACAATAGTTATAACGACAGGAACACCCCAACCAAAGAGACTGTACTTAATGAAAGTTTTCAACTTGTTTACATCAAATCTGACCAAAGTATTGCGGCAAAAGGTTTTTCTCAAGTGATAGATATTAACAACAGCATTCATGAGAATGTTATACGAAATAAACTTATTTATTATTTCAAGCATGGCACATGGGAAATCCAATTCTTTATCAACACGTAAATACAATGACAAGTATACTACGTAATTAATCAATGCCAAGAGAAATGAGAAGCTTAAACTCATCAAATTCAAACCAGGAAGAGTGCGCAACTCTGGAAGTATCCCATAAACAATCAACAACAATAATAAACAAATAATTGAGAGAGCCAAGGCACAAAATGGTGCTATGAAAGACAGTCGAATATCTGATATATTACGTTCTATTAGTTTTTTATCACATGATATGAATTTACTCTCCAATACGCCATATGTCATAGGGCTTCTTCTCAACTTTACATCTCTCAATAGAATGGGAAATTCTCGCTTGAATTCCTTCACCCTTTTTTGCAGCTTTTCCATTTCCAGCACAGATATATTTCCTGGACTGTTACTCTTCATGATATTCTGCCAACCTGGTTTCGCAAAAAGAGAGAAATCTCCTCTCTTGTACGTTTTTATGATTTCCTGCAACTTCACGTTTTTGAGTAGAGAGAAATACCCTCGCTTCGTCTTTCTGATAATGGATTCATAACAAATTTCAAAATATGTGAAGAGCTTTACCCAGTAATTACGCATTTTCCAAATATTCTGCACGTAGTCATCAGTGGAGTTACAAATCTTTATGGTATCATTCAGAATTCGATACTCAGTATAATCATACTCCTTATTCTTATAGACTATTAAAAAGTTTCTTTTCGGCCAAATCTTGTATTCATCATCGCATTTTATATTGATGATTGAATCGTTGCATGTTAATAGATCTTCCTTGGTAAACTCTGTTGATGCAGGTCTGAATTTTCTTTTGCACATGTATGGTCTTCCTCCTACCACCCCATAGTCATTTCTTCCCGAGTATTGAGCAGTTCCTACCCAGTAGAGTTTAAACTGCTTGCTGACAACATAATCAAATAAGCCAAAGTTTTCATTTATACAACCTTTAAAAGAGCTAACGCTCTTTACCCAGCGATTACGCATTTTCCAAATCTTTCGCACGTAGTCATCAGTGGAGTTACAAATCTTTATGGTATCATTCAGAACTCGATACTCAGAATAATCATACACCTTGTTCTTATAGAGTATTAAAAAGTTATTCCAAACTGTGTATTCATCATCGTATTTTACATTGATGATTGAATCGTTGCATGTTAATAGATCTTCCTTGGTAAACTCTGTTGATATTGGTCTGAATTTTCCTTCACATACGTAGGGTTTACCGTGTACAACCCCATAGTCACTCTTTTTAAACTGTTGACCAGTTGCTGCCCAGTAAACATGGAGCTGCTTGCTCACGACACAATAATTTAAGCCGAAGGCTTGGTTGCAATCTTTAAAAGTCCTTTTCCTCTTTATCCAGTTATTACGCAATTTCCAAATATTCCGTACGTAGTCATCAGTGGAGTTACAAATCTTTATGGTATCATTCAGAACTCGATACTCAGTATAATCATACACCTTGTTCTTATAGAGTATTGAAAAGTTATTCCAAACTTTGTATTCATCATCGTATTTTATATTGATGATTGAATCGTTGCATGTTAATAGATCTTCCTTGGTTGATTTTGGGCTTAATTTTCCTTCACATACGAAATGTTCCTCGTCATTCTTTCCATATTCATGCTTGGTGAGATAATCACCGCTCTCCAGTACTGGCTCGGTGATTCGGCTATTTAAATGGTAATGCGTCTTCTTAATGTAATGATCACCTTGGGCAAGGCATTCATACCTGTCTTTATACTTTATCCACGAATTTTGCGATCTCCAAATCGTTTGAATTTTCGAATCTTCGGAGGCACATATCTCAATACTTTCGTAGTTGAATCGATATTCGTTGTAATTATAAATCTTGTTGTTGTATAACAGCGAAAAATTCTTCCAAATCTGGTATTGTTCCCCGTACTTTACTTTAACCAAATAATCATCGCAGGATAGACTGAGCTTCGCCGAACAAATTGCCAAACATCCAAAAATTACACCGTAATCTGTCTTCAGAAAATTTTGCTTGGTGAGTTTGAAGAAAACAGTCAAATTTTTATGCACTTTGTAATCTCGCCTTGGAAAACCATCCACGGATACATTGCAATGTCTGGAAGCCATCTTTTCCTTTTCGCTAGTAATCAAATTTCGCCATCTTTGTTGGATAAGAGTGTTGGAAGAATTACAAACTTCTAGACCTTCTTTTGTGACTCTGTACTGGTTATAATGGTATATTTCACCCTGGTACATGATTGAGAAGTTGTTCCACACTCTGTAATCATCTTTATATTTTATAGTAAAGGTAGAATTCGCGCATTCGATCAAATCTGTCTTACTTCTTGTGATTGCATCAATGTGTCGTCTGTTCCGGTTGTGCTGCCTTGTTGAGAAGTTTTGTGGCTGAAAAAATCTGTGGCTCAACGAAGATGTTTTTTCCTTGACGCCGCTGTTCCATTGGGATCGACTCACATGAGAAATTGAGTTTGATATCTTCCTGGGATGTTCATCTTTTGGCGGCGGAGTTGAACCATTTCCTCGTCGTGTTTCCACTGCAATTTCTAAAAAGGAAATCATAGTTTGCTAAAGATAGTTATTAAAAAAATCCTCAATTTAGGAATACTGAGGTTTAGGGCAATTTTAAAGCGATTGAAAAAACAATATCCGGGGCTATGCAGCTTTCGTATAAACCGGCCGCTGTAGTTGATAAATAACGTAACGTAGACAAACACCTGCCTGTATGAAACAAATTGCTGTAATCAAACAATGTCTAGACGAGCGAGGGTATTGTATAAAAAGTCATCCTAGTTAAAAACTTATTCTTTACCTGTTCCTTTTATCTCTGAAAAACCATCCACCGTCTTGTCGACATCAGTCTGTTCAGAATTCTCTGTTGTGTTAGGAAACGATTCGTTTTGTTTATTTAAAACTTTACGACTTGAGGGTTTGTCGTTGAATTCTTCTCTCAATTTTCTTGATTCCGTTTTCATCTTTCGTGTGATGAGTCTTGAGCTACCATCATCACGAAAAAAAAAGGCAAACGACAAACAGAAGAGAAAAAAAACGACTCGATACAAGAGTTGAAAACTGAAGCCAAGATTACGAGCCATCTTGCAAGTGCAAGCGTTGTTAAACAACTGAATAGTTTTGAATAGAAATGAAGTTTAAAACGAGCCGCACTCGTAAAATGTCATAAAATGTGTTGAAATCCTCCAAGAATCCTTGACATGTTATATTGGACTGTATGCGACTATATGGCTACACTTATACTTCGGCGTCATTTTGGTGAGAACTGTGTGAGGCGATATGTTCCCATTTTATGAAAATATTCTCAAAGATATAAGCTTGAACACATTGCAATGGCTAGGCGCTATGTGATCGTTTTATCAACCTATTCATACTTATCACACAAAATAGTTATCACTTTAAAATGTATATTAACGTACACACCCGGATGTTTAGAAAATTTGAGTAGCGGTATGTTGAAGAGGGTTTAGCCCGTTATAAGCCCTTTGTTTGAAGTTTTCCGCCGTAAAAGTGGAAAGCAGCCCTAAGAGGCGACTAGAAAAACCGGCAAAAAATCGACAAATTGCAGTCAAGTCGCGAGCGTAGTTTCGCAGGAGATCCTCATTTTCGCGTTGACTGGCATAGAAAAGCTTTGGTAACAATATGGAATTTGCGTATAAGGACCTATTTTAAACTGCCACAAATTATTATTTGTTTTAACGGTATTCTAATTGCACGTAGAACTTGCAGGTGAGCATGAAGACATCTTGAACTAAAATAACATCATTATTAGAATCAAGTTAAAGTCAAAATCAGTCCGAGAGATCCTTTTTTATTTTTTCAATAGTATAGCTATGATGTTTTTCTTTTTTTTCCGTTTTTTTTCCAGAAAAGTTGTGGACAAGAAGTGTACATAGCATAGTGTCAAGCAAGTTTTTTGAGAGAATAGTCTAGTGTGATATGACTTGCGAACTTGAATATTCATCAGATGTTAAGTAGAAAAAATTGTGAGAAATTTCATGCATGGTTTAAAAAGTGGAAAATTAATATATAGGAAAACCTTCTTTCTATTAAAAATACCACCAGAGTTGGTATCTAAGTTATATAGTATATGTAAGTGTTTACATCATATATTAATTATTATTCCTCTCTGACTGACGCACTTTGAGAGATATTACACACGCTTGTTATTTTAGCTCTTACTCGTGATCAACTTATTTTAAATATGAATGAACAAAGAAAGGAAGTAATGAGAACTCAAATTAGTAAAATTGCAAGAGAGTTATGATACAAATATCACGAAAGGCCATTTCGTGTGGGAAATTCTACACAATATTGAGTGTTTTGTTTTTGAAAATAAATTAACATGTGATCATACCCAACATCAAAACATACTTAGGAGAGGAGGGGGGTTCAAATTTAAGTTTTGCCGACAAAAATAGGCGTGGTTTATTAAGATTGGATGCTGTCATTTATCAGCTGCAGGAGTATAGGTCATCTTTACCTACCAAAAACGTCTAACATAATCCAATTGCTTGGATTATATTACGTTTTTAAATAATGCACCCTGGATACGAGGCTGTGTTCCTTAAGCAACTTGAAAGAGCATATACGTTATATATTTCTATTGGGATAAAATTTTCGTAATTTGATCCATCGACACGCAACGTGCTTGCCATTCTCTGACGAACTGAGTCCACACGAAACAAAAGACACGTCGTTTTGTATTTAACATTTACTTTAATGAACGTGCTACAATGATTTATGTAGTTTATTATTTAATTACAATTACATATATTATGATAATTGATGTCCAATGTCAACGCTGACTTCTTATTTAGTTTTATATACTTGTATTAATGGCGCACAATCTAGTTAAATTCAACTTTCTTAAAATACTCATATATCTACAAATGTATTTTACTAAATCATGCAATGTGTCTACAAACATTTTATCGTCGCCATAAGAAGAAGAATTATTTCTTAATAGATTAATACACCTCAATTTTCTTTCCTTTCCTGCACTACATACGATAAATATACCCTGGCTATATTTTTCAAAACTGTATATATAAACTGGTTTTAATCCAAGTATAAGTGCATTATTATACGCAAAGAGATGCTTTGCCAACCTAACATCCATGATTTTGTGGATACATGATAAGATTACAATTGTCAAGACAATGTCTTTAGGTTCAAGTTAGGAGTGTCAAGTTTTGGGATAGAATTAATATAAACGATTTAAGTTTGCATGACGTAATCATAGAAAGTAATCATGGAAAATCGGAAAATCACGAATGCTTTTCAACTGACCTGGTACTGCACAATGGCTCTATACACATTACATTTATTTGCATGCTAATTAAATTGCTCTTTGACTCTAAGTACATTAATTTTCTTTTCTACGTTTCTTTTAGAGATTCCGTTAAGGGGACAAATACGTGATACGTGAGATATTTTTGAAAGGTTCGTGCAAAGAAGATTTCTGACGGATTTAACGACTTGCTTGCTCGCTAAAATATTTCTTCCTAAGCAGCTGGTAATTTTTTCGTGTGAAGACAAACGCAATTCCAACATAAACACCAGTAAGCCACGCTACCGTCAGTAATGCTATCATCAGGTCAGAATTAAACACTAAATCTTCAAATACAAGAGGAATCCAGCTGATGGCTGTAGTGGTTGACAGCTTAAATAGCAAGACAAAGCTTCTGCGTTTGTTAACAATGTTTGCTTTCTGTACAATGTTGTTGCTTGCTCTGAGTTTCTGGCGAATTCGATAAGCGGTGAAGATGAACATTGTAATGATGTACAACAAAAGACAGCCGGGAACACCATAATTCTCAACCACCACCAGCCAACTAGAAAGATTGTGATCCTTAGCACAAGAAACTGATTTTTGAGTTATATTCTGGTGAAACCTCAAGACTTTCGTCTTCACAAGAACAATGTAGACAACAGTTATAACGACAGGAACACTCCAGGCAAAGAGACTGTACTTAAAGAAGGTTTTCAACCTCATGAAGACCAGTTTCTTCCGTCGTCTTGTCGACATCAATCTGTTCAGAATTCTCTGTTGTGTTGGGAATCCATTCGTTTCGATCATTTAAAACTTTACGAGTTGAGGGTGTGTCATTGAATTCTTCTCTCAATTTTCTTGATTCCGTTTTGACCTCTTGCGTGATGAGTCCTGAACGCCCATCGCCACGATAAAAACAGGCAAACGACAAACAGAAAAGAAAGAAAACGACTCGATACAAGAGTCGAAAACTAAAGCGATACTTACGAACCATGTTGCAAATGCAAGCGTAACAAAACAACTGAATACTTTTGAATAGAAATAAAGTTTAAGACAGCTGCATACGAACAGGTCTACACTTGAAATATTTTTAATTTGGTAAACATGGTATATATTGGAAAACGTCTTGGGGTTGTCAAGTGATAATTGTGTGAACAGACATATTATGATTATATGTCTATTACTTTACGAATTCTTTCCAGATTCAAGGTAAGCTTTAGGAAAGAAAAATGGTGATATTTTTTTCCTTTATCCCGATAACCATGGATCGATGGTTGAATGGAATTCGAATTTGCAGACTGAGGGAAAAATCTTCACCGCTCGAAAACATATATATTAATATGGCGAAATGTCTATCAGATTCTAAACAGTTTCAAGAGGTAAGTTTAAACTGTGCATTAATTGAAAACAGGCGACAGATGAAATAGCTAGAAATAAAGAAATTTTTACAGTCGTAATACCTAATTCAAAACAGTTTTGTTCAATACCACCAGCCATCCCAATGGTCAACGAAATGTTATTGCAATAGTAGTTTTGTTTGCTATTTAAAAAACGAATAAGACTGTTTTTTAACACAAACACGCGAAAACCATCAATTATTTTTCTTGATTACCGAAAGGAGCAGCTAGATCTCCGTGCATTGACAAAAGAATAGGAAGTTGCAAATTTCCACTAGTCGAGAAAATACAAGGTCAAATTTGGAGCGTTCTTTATCACGTAAAAGGCAATGACTAAATATGTACTTATTTTAAACTTTGCAATAAATCATTAATTAGTTTAATGTTTCTAAGACACGTAGCACCTGTCAGAATGAAGAGATCTTCGACTACAATAACAATCATTATTAATATCGAGTTAAAGCCAAAATCAGTCCGAGAAATTACTACCAGACTAATACTTTTCTTACCATTACTGGTTACCTATGAGCGCTTATTAAGATTCGCACTTTACATGTTGTGTTATAAATTATAAAGCGTTAATGATAGCTACGATGCTCTTCGATCGCCTGGAAACAGGGTGTGGAAATGAATTTAATATAGCATATAGTGTCAAATAAGCTCATTGAAAGAATATTCTCGTGTGATATGGCTTGCGAACTTGAATATTCTTAAGATGTTAAAAAAATAAAATTTTGAGAAATTTTTTGCACGGTTTAAAAAGTGGAAAATTGTTGTAGAGGAAAACATTCTTGCTAATAAAAACAGCACCAGAGTTGGTATCTAGGTTAACAGTATATGTAAGTCTTTCTATCACATATATATATATTAATTATTATTCCTCCCTAACTGACACATTTTGGCAATATTACGCACGCTTGTTATTTCAGCTCTTAAATATGAACCCGATCACACTGCCTAGCCGACATTTAATTTAAAATTTTTAAATTAAATTCAAAAGTTTGTTGTTTTTGCGTTTCAAATGGCGTCTTAGTGAAAACTACTTGGATGAAAACAAAGAAAGGAAGAAATGAGAACTAAAATAATAAAATTGCTAAAGGGTTATTATGAAAAATTACGAAAGTACAAGAAAATTCTAGATAATGTTGAATTTTCTTGTTTTTTCACTCATAATGAAAGAGAATATCGCTACAATACTCGTAATTTAACCCATGATTATCAATGCGCCTGCATGATGGGCAGTAGCAAGCACATCATGCATTGTTTTGCCGACAAAATGGCCGTGGTTAAGATGTTTTCATATAGTCTAATACAGCCCAATTTCCCAACGCACTTCCCAAACCCGCCCTTCACTACGCCCCCTGCGCATGCGCTTCTCTGACAGACTCTATATGAAACAAAACACACACGATTTTCTTCTTGTGATTTACTTTATTTTACATGCTACAATGACTTACAACACACAACCTCTATACATTACTAATTGATATATTATTACATATAGTTGATGTCAAAGTTTAAATCTTGACCAGTTACATATAATATAGCTAATAATATGCTTAATATAGCTTTATTTACTTTGCTTTTTAATATACAGACTATATTGTCTTAAAACTGTACAGGTCTAATCTAGTATTAACCAGAATAGGCATAGATATGCATTTCTTGTTAACTCTAGGTACACACTTGTTCAATTCTATATACTTCATGACTACTCCTCTCCTTTGCTTACTCACAGACTGACCATATCTAAATCTTAAGGGACCAAATACGTGATAATTGAGATATATTTTTATACAAAGAAACCTTCATGCAAAAAATATTACTGAACTACATACTTTTACAGTCACTAATATTCACTGAATTAAAATCTTGCTCGCTCCCTCATTTGCTGACTTGCTCACTAAAATATTTCTTCCTAAGCAGCTGGTAATTTTTTCGAGTGAAGACAAACGCAATTCCAACATAAACACCAGTAAGCCACGCCACCGTCAGTAATGCTATCATTAGGTCAGAATTAAACACTAAATCTTCAAATACAAGAGGAATCCAGCTGATGGCTGTAGTGGTTGACAACTTAAATAACAAGAAAAAGCTTCTGCGATTCTTAACAATGTTTGATCTTTGTACAATGCTGTTGCTTGCTCTGAGTTTTTTGCGAATTCGATAAGCTGTGAAGATGAACATTGTAATGATGTACAACAAAAGACAGCCTGGAACACTATAATTCTCAACAACAACCAGCCAACTGGGAAAAATATGATCCTTAACACAAGAAACTGATCCCAGAGTATTCTGATGAAACCTCAAGATTCCCGTCTTCACAAGAACAATGTAGACAATAGTTATAACGACAGGAACACCCCAGCCAAAGAGACTGTACTTAAAGAAGGTTTTCAACTTGTTTACATCAGATCTCACCAGAGTATTGCGGCAAAAGGTTTTTCTCAAGTGATAGATATTAACAGCAGCATTCATGAGTATGTTATATGTAATAAACCTATTTATTATTTCCATTCTAGCACATGGGAAATCCAATTCTTTACCAACACGTAAATACAGTGACAAATACACTACGTAATTAATCAATGCCAAGAGAAAGGAGATACTTAAACTCATCAAATTCAAACCAGGAAGAGTTCGCAACTCTGGAAGCATACCATAAACTATCAACAACAATAATAAACAAATAATTGAGAGAGCCAAAGCACAAAATGGTGCTATGAAAGACAGTCTAATATCTGATATATTACGTTCTATTCGTTTTTTATCACATGATATGAATTTACCCTCCACTACGCCATATGTCATAGGGCTTCTTCTCAACTTTACATCTCTCAATAGAGTGGGAAATTTTCGCTTTAATTCCTCCAACGTTTTCTGCAGCTTTTCCATTTCCAGCACAGATATATTTCCTGGACTTTTACTCTTCGTGATATTCTGCCAATCTGGTTTCGCAAAAAAAGAGAAATCTCCTCTCTTGTACGTCTTTGTGATTTCCTGCAACCTCACGTTTTTCAGTAGAGAGAAATACCCTCGCTTCGTCTTTGTGATAATGGATTCATCACAAATTTCAAAGTATGTGAAGAGCTTTACGCAGTAATTACGCATTTTCCAAATCTTCCGTACGTAGTCATCAGTGGAGTTACAAATCTTTATGGTATCATTCAGAACTCGATACTCAGTATAATCATAGACCTTGTTCTTATAAAGTAATGAAAAGTTTCTTTTCTGCCAAATCTTGTATTCATCATCGTATTTTATATTGATGATTGAATCGTTGCATGTTAATAGATCTTCCTTGGTATATTCTGTTGATACAGGTCTCAATTTTCTTTTGCACATGTATGGTCTACCTCTTACCACCCCATAGTCATTTCTGGCCAAGTATTGAGCATTTGCAGCAGAGTAGAGCTCAAACTGCTTGCTGACAACATAATAAAATAATTGGAGGTCTTCATTACATGCTTCTAAAGACATTCCCCACTTTATCCAATAATTACGCATTTTCCAAATATTCCGTTCGTGGTCATCAGTGGAGTTACAAATCTTTATGGTATCATTCAGAACTCGATACTCAGTATAATCATACACCTTGTTCTTATAGAGTATTGAAAAGTTATTCCAAACTTTGTATTCATCATCGTATTTTATATTGATGATTGAATCTTGGCATGTTAAAAGATATTCCTTGGTTGATACACAGTTCCATTTAATAATTTTCGTGCATACATAAGGTTTACCGTCCACCACCCCATATCTATTTTTTTTAAAATATTGACAACTGTGTGCCCAGAAGATATGGAACTGCTTGCTCACCACATAATATTTATTTAAGCGGAAGGCTTCATTACAAATTTTAAAAGACCTTACCCTCTTTACCCACCGATTACGTATTTTCCAAATATTCCGTACGTCGTCATCAGAGGAGTTACAAATCTTTATGATATCATTCAGAACTCGATACTCAGTATAATCATACACCTTGTTCTTATAGAGTATTGAAAAGTTATTCCAAACTTTGTATTCATCATCGTATTTTATACTGATGATTGAATCGTTGCATGATAATAGATCTTCCTTGGTGGACTCTGTTGTTTCTGGTCTTAATCTTCCTTCACATACGAAAGGTTCGCCGTCTTTCACTTCATAGTCATGTCCTGTGAGATATTGACCGCTCCTCAGTACAGTTATATTGATCTGAATATTGTAAATGTAAAACGGCCTCTTTATGTAATGGTCACCTTGGGCAAGGCATTTATACCTGTCTTTCACGTTCTCCCACGAATTCCGAGATCTCCAAATCGTCGGAATTTTTGAATCGTCGGAAGCACACATCTCAATACTTTCGTAGTTGAATCGATATTCGCTGTAATTATATATCTTGTTGTTGTAAGACAACGAAAAATTTTTCCAAATCTGGTATTGTCCCCCGTACTTTACTTTAATCAAATAATCATCACAGGATAGACTGAGCTTCGCCGAACAAATTGCCAAACGTCCGAAAATTACCCCGTAATCTGTCTGTAGAAAATTTTGCTTGGTGAGTTTGAAGAAAACAGTTAAATTTTTATATACATTGTAATCTGGCCTTGGAAAACCATCCACGGATACATTGCAATGTCTGGAAGCCATCTTTTCCTTCTCAATGATAGTCAAATTTTGCCATCTTAGTTGCATAAGAGGTTTGGAAGAATTACAAACTTCTAGACCTTCCTTTGTGACTCTGTACTGGTCATAATGGTATATTTTACCTTGGTACATGATTGAGAAGTTGTTCCACACTCTGTAATCATCTTCATATTTTATAGTAAAGGTAGAATTCGCGCAGTCGATCAAACCTGTCTTATTTCTTGTGATTGCATCAATGTGTCGTCTGTTCCGGTTGTGCTGCCTTGTTGAGAAGTTGTAAGGATGAGAAAATCGGCGGCTCAACGAGTATAGGTTCATTTTGATATAATTGTCCCATTTCGTCTGATTTACATGAGCAATGATGCCTGGTTTCATAGTGGGATATTTCCATTTAGGCAGTGAAGAAGTTGAAAAAGGAACCACTTGTTTCTTTCCTATTTCATAACTTCGCTTTGTTTCAACTGCAATCTCTGGAAGATAAATTATAGTCCGCTATAAATCATTGATAAAAATAATCCCGCCCGGATATTTTCACCCGAGACCGGCGAATTAGAATGCTATGCGCTTGCGCGATTTCGGATCGACAAGGAATTTTTTTTTCACTTCAGTAAAGAGCTGACAGACGTCGAGAAAAATTTTTTAAAACAACTGGAAAATATTCGCATCCGGCATGACTTTAAAGCCAGTGTTTTTTCAGTGTTTTAAATGAAATTGTACATTTTCAAAACAAGTCTGTTGCTGTGAAAATGTTTTCAAAAAAATTTGAATCTTACGACTAGACTCCAGAAAAATTTTTATTCGGCGGAAGTGTTTTTATTCGGTCGATAGTACATTTAGAGACCGGGGGGGGGAACTCGTTCATCTAAATACCTACACTTAATCGGTTATACGCAAACCCCCGTGCATGTTAAATTCTAGATACGGTCTGGCTTAGGAAATAAATTGCTTGGATCACGCAATATTCATGCGAGCGAGGGAACTGTGTATGAATCTTTTTTTGTCAAAAATTGTCCCAATGGCTATACCTTTTCTTATCTCTTGAAGACCAGTTTCTTCTTCCGTCTTGTCGACATCAATCTGTTCAGAATTTTCTGTTGTGTCGGGAATGGATTCGTTTGAAATTTTACGTGTTGAGGGCGTGTCGTTAAATTCTTCTCTCAATTTCCTTGATCCCGTTTTGATCTCTCCCGTGATAAGTCCAAAACCACGATCACCACGATAAAAACAGACAAACAACAAACAGAAGAAAAAGAAAGCGACTCGATAAAAGAGTCGAAAACTGAAGTCTCGATTACGAACCATGTTGCAACCGCAAGAGTTGTTAAACAACTGAATATGCTTTTGAATCAACATAAAACACACGTACGTCTACACTTGAAACCCTTCTAGAATTAACATGTTCTATAGACGGTATGGCTACAGTTATACTTTGATATGAGGAGGTAATACTTTGTGAACAGGCGTTATATGTTAATTTTATGAAAGCATTGTCGAGAAAATAAGCTCTTAAAATAGTGCTGTATGTGTTCCCATGCATAACCGTTGTTGTGAAGTAAAATAGTTATCGCTTGAAAACCTACATCAACATACGCCCGAACGTCCATCAAATTCTGCCTCGCTTAACAACAGCGTTAAGCCGGTTTTCCACTAGCGATAATTTTCACGCGAAGTGACATTTTACTTTTGTTTCAGAGCTCTCAACTGCAACCATCTGGAACAAATTGCTCAAATACAAAGGAATAAATTCGCTTGGCGCGAAAAATATCGCTAGTGGAAAAAACTAAGGCATTAGGAAGCAAGTTAATGTTAAGGAAGTTCAACTTTGTTATAACAGAGAGAATGTGCATTTCGAAAAGCTGTTCTTTTTCTTATTTCATTAAACAAAAGTTGGGGGGAGCTCCCCCGGGGTGATGGGAGGGGGACGTACTGCCAAAATTACCCTTTTTTGAGGGGCACGTCCTGCAAAAATTACGTTTTTCTGAATATATAAATATTATACTCTACCTGTTATTTTTAACCACTACTACTTTAGATATGGACGTCATGAGACTCGGTCTTGCCTTTGCTTTTACGGTGTCCAAATACATGCAGCTTAGTGATCCTTGAATATAGTACTTCAATAATAACAGAGAGGGAAAAAGTGGACTTTTTTATGTTAAAGTTCATGATGACGCATTTTTGTTCTAAGCTGGAAGAATAATAGGTTAATAGGTTATATTTAACGCCACAGCTAGACATAGCATCTTACAATGATCGAGTAGAACTTTAGTACCAAAATTTTGTAAAAGTAGAATATATATTTTCAAAGTTTATAAGTTGTGTACCAAATTATATTAGGCACAGTTGAATTAACATATCATTTTTCAACATGCGCGTGATATGAATATTTTTTTGTAAAATATTCTTTTCGCCCGATACATTAACTCCATTACTATGTATATTAAGAATTTTTTATACAATTCATTTCGGACTGCGCTAAAATTCATTTCGGACAAAAATATACCTTAGGCCGGTAATATTGTCCATTTTTGCCTGCAAAATGTACCGTATAATACCCGGCTATTTCTCATTATTTTGACCAAATTTTAAAAATGTGCTAATGCACTTTGTCATAAAATCATTAAAAGTCGTAAGCTCGTGCAACGCGTCCAGCAAAGCTGGTTTGAAGTGTTTTGTTATTTGGAATAAATTTTCCTTCCTTCGACTGACATATGGCAAACAGACTTTCTCATATGTCACGACAGTCAAAATAAACAAAGCACTTTATTCTCTGGTGATCACGAAGATTCATTCAAAATGACAGAGAACTTTGTTCTCCGGTGATCACCGACGATAGCCATCGCCAACTGTCGTCGACCAATTAGAACCAGGCTTAACGGATTGCCAATAGTAAACCACCGACAGCCGGTGATAAGGTAACATAGGAGAACATAGGAGAACTAGGCTTAACAGTATCAACATTTCGGGAAAGGGCTACAATACAAGTTATATATCAGCTTCGAATTTTTGGGTCACTGGATACGAGATGCGCCATCCAGTGTCAGCATATGTATCAGTGTCTTACGTGTGTATATTGAAGATCTTTTATCTTCAGCAAAATCGGAACAGTAGAAGTTAAAACCTCCACTTACCTCGTACTGTCGAAGAAATTCAAGGAAATCTTTTAACGAGTTCAGAACGAGGCTTCTAAGCTGTATGGACATCAGAGCTCCGACGCATGAGAAGAATTTCTGTATGAGTGAGGCTGAATCGCCTTCATTCGCTGGAATGAGATGTGTCCAGTGTTGTTTACAGTCTAGGAGAACCTTGGCACATTCTGTTATCCATCTGCAAGAAGCGAATATATTGGATAATAAGTTGACTGGATCGTGAATACATGATATTGGGTAATAAGTTGACTGGAACGTGAATATATGATATAGAGATCAGCGTGATTTTCAAAACAAAGAAAACATAGCGTATTGTTCCGGAGACTGGGTGGTGAATATATGATATAGAGATCAGCGTGATTTTCAAAACAAAGAAAACATAGTGTACCGCTCCGGAGACTGGATGGTGGATATATGATACAGAGATCAGTGTGATTTTCAAAACAATTAGAAGTTTTAGAACAAAGTGCACTGTTTGGGAACTGGATCGTGAATATATGATATGCAGATCAGTGTTATTATCAAAACTAAAGGAATCTTACGTTTTCTTGAGGAATTCTCTTGTTCGTAGACACTGTTTTCTAACAAGTTCTTGGAATTCCTCAGGTGCAACAGGTAGCCCAGACGCACGTAGTTCGTCACCGTCAACAAAACGTACCTGAGAAAATCTACAAGACAAAGACGCGTTGAAGACACCACTTTCCTCGATTAAACATGATTAAAATGTACATATAGACTGAACAAGTATTTACCTGTTTGTCCAAACATTTTGTATTTCCATCATGACCGGATTGGTTGTAAAAACATTTTTTATCACCATATCTTTCCCTCTTTGGTACGAGTTATGCCAAGGCACCGGTGCACGTATAGTTCTAAAAAATGGCAGAGTGTCAAGGCAGTTCTTTACCAAAAATATTTTGTTAAACTTCGCATGACAATCCAGTTTCAATCATGAAAATTGATAGCTTTTTATTACCTTCGAGGAAATGGTTTAGGAATAGCGCTGATGCTGAGACGAACTTTCTCCGATGGATCCATTAGAATGTAGTCGACTAAAAACGATGGAGCAAACTATTGGAATTGTTTTGTATTTAAAAACACAGTTACGGCCTTTGAGTGATAGGTCCTAAGCGCGCCTGACTAGCTTTTTTAGTTTTTAATTGAAAAACATTGCAATCTACCATTTTACCATTTTATACATTGTAAACACATTGTCATTTAGCGCATCTGCTACTAGTACGTGTAATAAATATTATTTACCATTCATTATTTACCAAACGCTCGGCTTTATGCAGCTAATGAAAACTAATTCGGTGTAGAAATTTCAAGATTGATGCCCAGCTGCACGTTTAGGGTCAAGTATTTTTGATTACAACTTTTAATTTAATCCCCCTGCCCTGAGTTGGCCTTCACGTTAACTTGCAGTTATCATTCAATGTTTAGGCTTGCTAAGTACCTCAAAACCATCGTTCAAAAGCTGGAAGTGTGGCTTAAATATACATTAAAATACTGATGAAAATTAACACACAAGTCGTGCGGCAATTTATTTACCTATCGCTTTCCGTATGCTGAAAATGTAATCGTCTTCGACTTCTTTAAATAAATCGTTTAATAAAGCATCAAGTTCCGGGTCTGACTGAAGCTTTTCTGGTATTTTGTTGGCCAAAATACGTCGCATAATCGCTGGGTTACATAACGCAAGAGAATCCATTCGTATGCTTTTTGTGATGTAGAAATTATAACGCTGAAAGAGAGATTTTAAATTAAACGAATTTTCTCCACAAAATCACAAAAAAACGAAGCGATAATGTTGAATATACCGAAGACAACTTGGCAATGTCTTTTGTTTATTTTTAGACTAATTCAGATCGTTGTACGTGCAACTGCAAATTAAAGCATTTTGATTGGTCAATACGCCAAATAGAGCATTTTGATTGGTTCCCGACTAACAGCACAGACCGCTTCGGTTTTGGCGGGAAACTTTGAGTTCTGGATTTCTTTGAGATTAAATCAGAAACAATTTGAAAATCTTCTGGTTTTTTTCCGCTTAAAGGCGATAATATTTTAGAGTATATCTTCAGCGACCTACTTGGCGCCAGAATTTAAATTTTGTCCACAAATTTCCTTATAACAAACCATTTTAGCTTCAAGTTCTTTCAAACAATTGAATTTTGTCGGATCGAATGCACTTTTGATCATAGGCAGCCCAGACTTAGACTTGCGCGTGTGATACTCGCGCGCGTGTCGCGCTTATGTTGTTTACTTCGTCTATATATTATGACAAGGTAGGAAAGAGTTTATCAAAATATGACAGATATACCTTCGTAAATGTATAATTATCTAAAAAATTGCTTGAAGAAACGCCACAAAAACTACAACCTAATAATCACCGATGATTAAACTACATTATCCTGCAGTTTCCATGTTTTTAAACAACATCTAAAGCCTTCAAATTAGCGAAATAAAACAGGAATTCATACGGAATTTTGAGAAAACTATCCGAGGGTCACTCCGCCTAAGGAAACGTCATCTTTTTTGAAATATTAGCTAAACGCTCATTGGTTCTCATTGGTAGTCCTGCAGGTAAGCCAATGAGCGTTTAGCTAATATTTCAAAAAAGATGACGTTTCCTTAGGCGGAGTGACCCTCGGATAGTTTTCTCAAAATTCCGTATGAATTCCTGTTTTATTTCGCTAATTTGAAGGCTTTAGATGTTGTTTAAAAACATGGAAACTGCAGGATAATGTAGTTTAATCATCGGTGATTATTAGGTTGTAGTTTTTGTGGCGTTTCTTCAAGCAATTTTTTAGATAATTATACATTTACGAAGGTATATCTGTCATATTTTGATAAACTCTTTCCTACCTTGTCATAATATATAGACGAAGTAAACAACGTAAGCGCGACACGCGCGCGAGTATCACACGCGCAAGTCAAAGTCTGGGCTGCCTATGCTTTTGATGTATGGAATGTAGTCTGTTATTGATAAAGCAGCGCTGCGCTGGTTTTATTTGATTTACCACCTATATGCATTGCAAGTCAATAGACAATAAAACACCCATCAGTAGTGTTCTGACAAAATTATTATCCAATTTTGGATAATAATCAGCTTTTGATTGAGCTCAGTCTGTCAATACGGCAGAATCCTGACTCGCTTACGTTTCGGGTTATAAACAAGTGAAAAAAGAACTCGACTATCCAGATTTGAAACTACCTTGAGATCCTGTTTTGAAGGTTCACGATCATGAAATGATTCACCAGAATTGCTTTCGTCCATTTTCTTCATCATTTCCATTTGTTCTGCAGGAGTAATGGCTCTGCTCGGAGCCATCACTTTTGGTTCCCTATTGAGGCAGGTTTCTTTTAGATAAGCTGTTTATTTACTCTAATACCTTAGATAGCCCAGAAGTATTGCTTTGTTTTAGCTCCATGCTATGGTTTTTATATCAATCGACCTTCTTAAACGCATTTGGCGATTAGAAAACGTGGAAAAATAACAAAAGGGGGGAAATAACTTTTTATAAATAAAATAGGGTCGTTTATCGATGTTATTGCAGAAATTGACGCACTCTTTCAAGGTCTGTCTTCGTCCCTCGGACTTGCTTCTCTGATGTGTGACAGGTCTTCTACTTGTGAGATGCACTATTTCTCGAGCTGTATTTCAGCATTAAGGAACACGGTAGTTATTAAATGTATCATAACGCTTTATAAAAGTTAAATTTAAATTACAACGGAGTTACAGGTGATATGAAATGAAGAGAAAAGACTAGTACTAGTTGTCAAATAAAAAGCACTTCTCTATTAATAAAACTTAACATATCTAATATAACCAGGGAGCAGCGTCTACAAAAACCTTGTAGTATAACAGCTGTCCAAAATCGAAAAAACATAATCTAGAAGCTTATATTTAATTGGGGGGGGGGGTCATATATTCATATCTTCGTCTCATGCCCGACTGATTTCTATTGTTAGCTATTAACATGAATAAATGAATATATATGCAGCCTCCCCCCATTTAAGCTTCTAGCGACAGTCCAGTTTGAAAGTGAGAAGTGTTTATGTCTATCTTAGATAGTTGTTAATTCTGCCACATTTGATGCCAATTTCATATCTCTTGAAATATACTTTATTTTGGACTTTTTTGTATCTAATGTATGACAGAGCTATAGTTCTTAATTATACCTAAACATAATCAAAAAATTTCTACAACTTTCACAAAGAATAAAAAAATATGTGCATATATGGGTGATTAATGCAAGGTAGTGGATAACAAGTAGGGCAGGTAGCTAGAAGCTTAATTGGGGGTGTGTATATTCATATATTCGTCTTATGCCTGACTGATTTCTTTTGTACGCTATTGTTCTAAAAGTATATAAACATGAATATGTGAATATACACCCTCCCAATTAAAAAGACAATCTCTTTTCAAAGGATACAAGGCTGGCTTGTTGCTCTGGTATGAGGTCTTGTCTGTGATTGTTGAATTTTCAGTAAATTTTTCATTTTAAGTTCGTTAGCAGTGGGCGTGTAATTATTAGCAATTGATTCACTTGGCGTTCTGTGGTACATTGTCTCCTTGTATGGGGCTGCCCGCGTCCAAGACATGTCCTTCATGATTGGTGGATATTCACTGTGCCGAACCACAATCTGCAAAGTTTCATAAGTAAATCCGGATGCTCAATTTTATGATTACAACAGGCTTACGATTTCAGGTTTTAGGACTAGGTTGGAAGAATGCAAGTGCATTCTCTAAAGGGGGATATGGTTGGGGGTAATCAATCTCAGGTTAATACATAGGCGTATGAGGCGGGGGGGCTGGGGGGGCGGCAGCCCCCCCAGTTTAGTCAGAAATATTAATTAGTCGGGCAATTTGTATTTACGAGTCGGGCAATTTATACTTTAGTGAATTTGGTGTCCACACTACATAAAATGTTTTAAGAATCCTCAAATATGGTAGAATATGGTCGAATATATATGCAGATTGCGTAAATCCGAATTAAAGGAAACAAAAATAATTGAAATAAACATGGTTTATTCTGCAAAATCTCACGCGGAAAATGCAGGAAATCACATTTGTGGGTCGTTAATTTTCAAAAATTTTCGGGGGGGCATGCCCCCGGACGCCCCCTAGTATGGCACACGCTTTCAGCTTTCGCGTCTCAGCTCTCCAAAACACTGAGGAGGAGCAGACCCCTGGACCATCCTTGTTTTTCTCGGTCTTTGGCGCTCGTCGGGCAGAATATCCCCCGAGGTCAGAATATTTTCAGTTGCATAAATGCCCTATCAACATCTCACAATTTGGAGATATAGTCAGTACTCAGTAGGTCAATTAAAATGAAGACTTATTTCAACCAAGTAAGATTTAGATCAAGCAAGGAATTTTATCAAACCTCAAACTTTTCAGACAGCTAATTGTTACCTTAGCACAAAATTATCTGCACAATTAATCACAGACTGCTGGAAAGTATGGAATCAATAATACTTCATCTTATAGCATAGGGTAAATCAATTATGATTTTTGGCACTTCACTCCATGCAGGTAAATTCTAGAGGTTCAAAGGGTCCTAACTCAATGGGAAAATGAGCAAGAGGACCGATAGTTGACTCATTTTCCTATTGACTGTCCCTGGCTTGAATTTGAAGTGTGCATAATTCCACTCGAAATTAAGACCCTTTGAACCTTTATCTTTATTACTTACATATATGATATATTGGCTTTCATAATGGTTAATATTTCAAACATTTGACAGAAAATTGAAACTATATTTTACAAAATGTTTTCAAAAAACTATGATAGCAGATAAATCCAACCTTGTACAAATCAGACGGGACGTCTACCGTCGGCGGCAGAGGAGGCAAAGTTGGCAGACCACGAGAGCAACTGAACAGAGCATTGGCTGAGCTGCACACCTGGTAAAAAAACGAAGATACACACTTTATAAGTTTATAAAAAATTAAAAACAAATACATTATATCAAGCAAACACTCCGGACATGTTGAATGACAAAATATTCACTAACCTTCACTTTCTCCATATTTTAAACGTGAAGTTCAATAGCTTTGTTTACACAGTGAAGTCAAAATACCGAAGATAAATTAAGATCTTTGGCACCGCGTGGGCCATTTTGCTGCGGTTTTTTGCTTTTTCCGCACAACTATAGCACTTTTCTCAGACCTTTACACTTCCAATTTAAGTTCTCTTTAAAAAATAGAGCGAAATACTTCGTTCAAGCGAGGAAAAATACTCCACAAACAAGGAAACGAGATTATAACAGAGTTTTAATCCTTTACCGGGATCACTCGTTGCTAAGGCGGTTGCTAGGCCCATCGTGGACGGGGTAAATCCCCGTACGGAGGTTTGATTACTACGGAAATTATTCAAATCTACGGCGCGAAACATTTTGCGATGAGATTGGTCAAAATGAGAATTTTGCCGCCTTTTTGATGCTGGTTGTTTTAAATGAAATATTATGTAAACATTGAAGGGCTTCCTACACAAGCTCTCAATATCTTAAATACATTAAAAATGGCAATATTGCAGGTCAAATATTTCGTGGGAACGAAGCGGTATGCCTCCAAAGCCTCTAAAAGGTATCTCAGCCGAGCTTCAACACCCTCAGACAGAAATTTCTACGCTTTTGAGTTAGTTTGTGCAATAATGATTCTGAAAAAATGCTTCTGAAATTCCCTATCGGGACACACAACAATTCTAGGTAGAAGTATATGATACACCCGGTTCAGGTAGAATGTTATTTAAGCAAATTAGCTTGCAGGTACACCTCATTGATGCACTGATGAAGGCCCGGGTTAACGGACCTAAAGCTTTGCTGCAGTATTAAATATTTACGTGGTGTACCTACAAGCTAATTTACTTACTGATGTCTCCATGCAAACATACAAGAATATTATTCAAAAACTCGTATGAAATGTGTTTCCAAGAACAATTTGTCCGCAATGTGCAAAAAATTTCTTAAAACACAAGCGTGACTTTAAATCTGACAAACATTCAAATCACCCGAGATTACACTGTCTTAAGACCCGTTTACACGTTTGCAGTATTGCAGAATTTGCTGGGAATGTTTAAAGAGACTAACATATGAAGAAATCTCCGGTTGTGGCGTCGGTCCTCCGCCGGTGAGTCGACATCTTCCCGAAGAATCATCGAAATGAGATTCAGGTGTGCGAGTTAGCCTGGATAAGAGGTATACGTTTGTGATCATCGCTGCTTTCGCGACCGCACTCCGAACGCTACTCGAGTGTCAAACTCGGCGACGTGAATCGTCATCATCGTCATGATAACTTGGTGGTTTAGCATTCTCGTTGTTGGCTGGAGATAAGGAAGTTGATAAGACTTACTGTTGACGTCATCATCAAAGTCACCGAAGGGGTTTGGTAATAATATCGCGTTAATATATCATGAATAACAATCAATTTGAAGATGAAAAGTTACTACACGTACATCCTGGGCTTACCTTTGCCTCTGTTGCTTGCCAAGGGGGCATAGGCCAGGGGGGACGGTGAATTGTGAAGTTGCGGAGTAGAATAGGACCTCAAAGCACGGTACTTCCGTATTTGTCTTGTTCACGTAGAGCTTTTTCCATCTTTTGTTTTTTGGTCGAAATATCATCTGAACTTTCATCACACACGCTTCGTCCTCCTCTTGCTTTTCCTCACCCTCCTGTTCGCTGTCTTCCGTCGTCATCGACAGGCCTGGAACGAAACATTAATGTCACCCGGATGAGTAATCAACCCAGTGACCTCAATATGCACTGGAACGATATTTGCTTATAAAAACACTATGATTATGCGAAACACAAATGGCGGTAATTAAGCGACCGGAATCAGTGAATGTCGTAAACAGTTCCTATTCCAGTTTTTTTAGAAAATCCAGGTTGTCTAGGTGGGGAATCACTAAAACAGCTATTAGTCCATGAAATCATGTCACTGTCCATATAATCACATAATCAAGGTTACGGCCTGAGAAAAGAAAACTGAAAATAAAACAAAAGACATCATTTTGTATCTGATATTTACTTTATTAAAGGACTAGTGTTACAATAATTTCTAACGCAAAGTTATGCGGTTTATTAATTAAGATACAACTACATATAATATACATATAATAATTGATGATCGTCAAAGTTAACTTCTTATTTAGTTTATATACTTCTATACTAATGGCACACAATCCAGTTAAATTTAACTTTCTGGAAATACGTGCATTTATCTACCTACAAACGGACCTGGTATTGCATAATGGCTCCATACACATTACATTTATTTACATGTTAATCTATTAATTAATACTTACAAGGCTTGTTGACTCTAACTGCACACATTTTCTCTTCTACATACGTGATAATTGAGATAATTTTTGCAACATCGTCAAAGTTTCATGCACTACAATATGATTTTTGAAATATTTTTTTGCGATTTTTTACTTTCATATTTTCACAGTCACTCATATCACTCACTCATGAACATTTATCTTGCTAACTCAAATATTTCTTCCTAAGCAGCTGGTAATTTTTTCGTGTGAAGACAAACGCAATCCCAATATAAACACCAGTAAGCCACGCTACCGTCAGTAATGCTATCATTAGGTCAGAATTAGACACTAAATCTTCAAATACAAGAGGAGTCCAGCTGATGGCTGTTGTGGTTGACAGCTTAAATAACAAGTCAAAGCTTCTGCGATTCTTAACAATGTTTGACCTCTGTACAATGCTGTTGCTTGCTCGGAGTTTTTTGCGAATTCGATAAGCGGTGAAGATGAACATTGCAATGATGTACAACAAAAGACAGCCTGGAAAACCATAATTTTCAACAACAACTAGCCAACTGGGAAAAATATGATCCTTAACACAAGAAACTGATCCCTCAGTATTCTGATGAAACCTCAAGATTCCCGTCTTCACAAGAACAATGTAGACAATAGTTATAACGACAGGAACACCCCAACCAAAGAGACTGTACTTAGAGAAGGTTTTCAACTTGTTTACATCAGATCTCACCAGAGTATTGCGGCAAAAGGTTTTTCTCAAGTGATAGATATTAACAGCAGCATTCATGAGTATGTTATATGTAATAAACTTATTTGTTATTTCCAGTCTCGTACATGGGAAATCCAAATCTTTATTAACACGTAAATACAGTGACAAATACACTACGTAATTAATCAATGCCAAGAGAAATGAGAAACCTAAACTCATCAAATTCAAACCAGGAAGAGTTCGCAACTCTGGAAGCATACCATAAACTATCAACAACAATAACAAACAAATAATTGAGATAGCCAAGGCACAAAATGGTGCTATGAAGGACAGTCTAATATCTGATATACTATGATCAGTACGTTTACCAGAACATACTGTAAATTTACCTTCGAACACGCTGTAACTATACTTTGTTTTACCTTTTTTGAGAACCGAAGTGTTAATCTTCAACACTTCGAGAAAAGAGTATGTGTCTGGATTTATAATATTAGTGAAACTTCTCCCACTTATTTCATACTGTACAGTAACTACTTCCAACTTTACATCCTTCAGTAGTGTGAAATGCCCTCGTTTGCCAGTACTCGTTTTGATAGATTTAATACAACTTTCAAAATACTTGAAGCCCTTTACCCAGAAAGTGCGCATTTTCCAAACATTCCGTACAAAGTTATCTGTGGAGTTACAAATCTTTATGCCATCATCCAGGACTCGATACTCAGTATAATCATACACCTTGTTCTTGTAGAGTAATGAAAAGTTCTTATTCGGCCAAACTTTATATTCATCATCGATTTCTATATTAATGATTGAATCGTTGCATGTTAATAGATCTTCTTTGGTATACTCTGCTGATAGAGGTCCGTACTTTTCTTTACACATGCAAGGTCTACCGTCTATCACCCCATAATCATTTCTTGTGAAATATTGACCAGTTTCTGACCGGTACATATGGAACTGCTTGCTCACAACATGATAGTCGAGGTAAAAACATATTTGGCACCCTTTAAAAGACATTTCGAACTTTATCCAGTAATTACGTATTTTCCAAATATTCTGTTTGTGGTCATCAGTGGAGTCACAAATCTTTATGGTATCATTCAGAACTCGATACTCAGTATAATCATACACCTTGTTCTTATAGAGCATTGAAAAGTTTTTCCAAACTTTGTATTCATCATCGTATTTTATATTTATGATTGCATCGTTGCATTTTAATAGATCGTCCTTGGTAAACTTTGTTGATTCTGGTCTAAACTTTCTTTTGCATGTACAAGGTCTTCCGTTTTTCACTCCGTAGTCATTTATTGACAAATATTGATCAGTGCGCGCCCAATAGACATGGAACCAATTACTCACAACAAAATATTGGAGGTAAGAGCATCTATTGCACTCTTTAAGATACCTTAACCTCTTTACCCAGCGATTACGCAATTTCCAAACATTTCGTACAAAGTCATCAGTGGAGTTACAAATCTTTATGGTATCATTCAGAACTCGATACTCAGTATAATCATACACCTTGTTCTTGTAGAGTATTGAAAAGTTATTCCAAACTTTGTATTCATCATCGTAATTTATATTGATGATTGAATCGTTGCATGTTAATAGATCTTCCTTGGTTGATACACAGTTCCATTCAATAATTTTCGTGCATACATAAGGTTTACCGTTCACCACCCCATATCTATCTTTTTCAAAATATTGACAACTTATTGGCCAGTAGACACGGAACTGCTTGCTCACCACATAATATTTCTTTAAGTCGGCGGCTTCATTACAAATTTTAAAAGATCTCACCCTCTTTACCCAGCGATTACGCATTTTCCAAATCTTTCGTACGTAGTCATCAGTGGAGTTACAAATCTTTATGGTATCATTCTGAACTCGATACTCAGTATAATCATACACCTTGTTCTTATAGAGTATTGAAAAGTTATTGAGAACTTTGTATTCATCATCGTACTTTATATTGATGATTGAATCGTTGCATGTTAATAGATCTTCCCTTGTTGACTCTGTTGTTTCTGGTCTTACTCTTTCTTCACATACGAAAGGTTCGCTGTCTTTCACTTCATAGTCATGTCCTGTCAGATATTGACCGCTCCTCAGTACATGTAACGTCATATTCCTATTCATAAAGTAATACGGCCTCTTTATGTAATGATCACCTTGAACAAGGCATTTATACCTGTCTTTCACCTTCTTCCACGAATTTCGAGATATCCAAATCGTCTGAATTTTTGAATCGTCGGAAGCACATATCTCAATACTTTCGTAGTTGAATCGATATTCGCTGTAATTATA